GTTTCTATAACGAGAAAGATATCTTCTCTAATGACGTCATGCTGGAGTATACCGAGGAGTGCTACCTGCCGTGGCCGAGATCTCCTGACTCCGGGCGCTCGAGCCTGGAGCCAACACCATCTTTGGACAGTAACGAGTCACCAACACACATCGCATATCGAGGAATGCCCAACGATATAGTTTTAGAAGACAGTGTGGAAGATGGGGAAGCTCTAGAAGGATCTGGAAAGAGGAGAGGACGTGCGACTAACGCCGCTGTCCTACGGAGACGTCGTCTAGCCGCCAACGCTAGAGAACGTCGAAGGATGCAGAATTTGAACAAGGCTTTTGACAGACTTCGCGGTCACTTGCCATCCTTGGGCGCTGACCGTCAACTCTCCAAGTACGAGACCCTGCAGATGGCACAGACTTATATCGCAGCACTTTACGAGTTATTGCAGTAAAGGTATGAAAATAATTAGGAATAGACAGTCTTTTTAAATCAAGGCGAAAGACGCTTAGTGTTGCTAAACGCTAAAAATTGCCAAATTTTATATAGAAGTAGTTCGTACAGGGATATTTATTGTTTTAATCTAAATGTAACTGTTACCAATTAGTATAGTGATGTTGTAAAAAATATCGAGTGTTAGAAAAAATCAAAAGATAGTTTAGGATATTTGAGAATCGATTAGATTATTGTCTTAATTTTTAATCGATTTAATAAAATATTTGGGTATTATACGCTTTTTAAATTAGATTTAGTTTTAGTTGTGCTAATGTAATCCGTCCTACCGATTATTTTTTATTATTTATTTAAATATTTTATTGTAAATTAACAACACCACAACATAGAAATTAAAATGTAATAAAACTGGTAGTACTTATAGCAACAGCTAAAATGTTTTATTAGGATTTTTATGTACTATTTCTTTTGCTAGATTTTTAATATGTACTTAATTAGACCTTTTAATTAGTATACATCTTGCCAATAACAGTATTAGAGTTTGTCAATGTATACGTTTAGTTAAACCAGTATTATACATTACAACTAATAGTGTAAATTACTTAGTTTGTAGTCTGTTATACATTTCTGTATTATGTGTTTGTAAATATATGAAATCTGTTTGAATAAACATGTGTTTATTTTATAAATAATAACTACTTTTACCTCTTTGTTCAATTCACCGATGTACAATAAAGTATATATTTTTATTTCCTGAATGGGATGTTATTTGATTACAAATAGTACAGGAGGTAAGGGACAACTACAAAAAAATACTATGAACAACACTTTAGACAATATTTAGAATTTGATATTAAGTGAGCGCTGTATTTCAATATAATTCGAAATTTAAAAAAAATCCTGTTTATTAGAGAAAATTATTTCTGATTATAATACTTCAAGTCATTAATATAAACGCCAAAAAACTCAATAACAACGTAAGATTAATTTTGATGAAAATATACCACAAACAAATTGAAATAAAACGTAAGTTTAATAAAGTTTACTTTTCTAAGTTTATGTATCCTTTCGTTTTCTAAAGTCTTAAACGCGGGCGCATACCTGAAACTAATCTATCGCACGACTGTTTAGTCTGTGATACCTATGAGATTATATGGAGATGCACATTACTCTATTTTTAATTGTGCAACTAAACAGTTGAATTGGCTGCGAAACAATCGACAATCGCACATCAGTTGTGCGATTGTTTACTCAAAGGTTTGCCTACGCTCTGAGTATACTGACCCAGTAGTGTATGGTTTCAAACATGAGACCACCAAGACGCCTACCACTGAGTCACAGGTATGATGGACAGTCAGAAGCAATCCGTCGAACGCAATCCTTCAGACTGACAGAACAATCAGTCAAATGTATGCAAAAGTGGAGCAGATGTCTGCTCACAGAATACTAACTTGTACTCTGTAATTTAGACTTTATCAGGTAAAGAATAAGGTTACTAGATTTAATATAAGTAATTCATTTTGCAGGTGTAAGCACCTTCAATCGTAACGTTCCAATAACGCTTTATAGGTATTTAGAACGTTTTATATGCCTTTTAGTGTAACGAATTTCGCGATAAAATAACCCTAACATTTTGTATCCGTTTTACAGTGACAGCAATATCCCTTACCTTTACATTTATCGAGAATAAGTGGGTTACAAAAACCCTTTTTAAATGTAATAGCAAGCTTACGTCGTCAGAAGGGGTAGCTACCTTTAGATAAAAAAACTACTTGGAATTAAACCATAACAATCTGCCCCTAAACCTAGCCTAGATACGCTGGAGAAGCCTAAGTGACTACTTAATGTAAATTATTCAAAGTCCTAGCTAATAAAGCTAGGCTAGCTTAAACCTGCATTGTCAATAGATAAATAAATCCAATCCATTAATCCGTTTGTTTACTAATCCATTGACAATGGGTAACACTTCTTTTTTCATGACTGAAAAGTCATTGTCGCTTTAAATAATTCAATTACCTTAATAAGCGGATTATAAACATTATTTATATTTCTGCATATTTGAAAATAATCCATGCTTAAAGTCCGATAATGTCGAAAACGTTATTTTCGTAATTAACCAGAAAAAAGGTAACAATTAATTCTATTTTAATTATTACATAAAACCATCAAATTTTAACAAAATTTTAAACATTTTGATGTAGAAATTTCAGACATCGATAGTAAAAAAAATAACATCAACTCACGAGAATAAAATATACTCCAAATACATACAATTTTATTAATCGTTCGTCCGTTTACCGCCTTATAATTAATTCGAGAAATGTGTGAACTTAATCAAGGGTTCCGTACCAACCTTGACAGCTCTCAACACCGGTAACGTCTTACTTCAGACCTGTCAAATCTGACAGCTGTCAAATATGACAACTCATTCGCTTCATCGCGAAAGCGGGCCGTTTTAAGAATTGATAAGTAGTTATTAGGGGGTTGCAAATTGAATTGTAAATGATATCGATAGATTGGTGGCTATAAAGAATGACTTTCAACTTCATTTTGAGAAAAAAAAATGAATTTTAATGAAGATACTTTTATTATCTATACTGTTATAATAAAGCGTAAACACACACTTCTTTGTTGCCTAAGATGTCAGCAATTACAGCATATTTTTTTAATAATTCTTCTTTTAATAAAAAGCCCTACACTTACGTCACGTTTTAGGCTATGTGTTTTCACGGCATTTAAGTTAGGGGGTAAATATTTTGGATAAAAACCCTAATGTGGGAAAGAGAAAATAAGTTGCTACCAACATCAAGGAAGCAAGGTTGCCATGGTTTGTCATGTCATTTTGACATTTGTAATTGATAATATGACAAATGTAAACAATAAAATGTAAACAATAAAATAGGTTTCATAATTTCATAATTTCATGCGGATGAAGTCGCACGGGAACAGCTAGTGTAACATAAATTAAACTTTATGAAGGAATCTTGTATGCATCGAGACAACGAGAAACAATAACAAATGTCAAATAGTACACGACTGATTGTTTATTAATTCAGTTTGCGCAACTTAAATTACCTGTACAATACTGATCCCTAAAATATATTTACCTATAGTTGCGTTGACAGTGCAAGATCATGCGCTTTGGGTCTATACTGTGCGTTCGGATTGGTTCGCGTTGACCCGACTTGTGTCTGCAGCGACCAATAGCGGGCCTTCCATAGCGCACGCCCGTCTAATTGTACGCACATAGAATGGTAATGGATATGATACGGAACCTGTATCAAAGGCCGTGGGTGCGTCACTTGAATCCGGTTACCACTAATTTTGAACTCGTGTAATTCATTTCTTATTGGAAGTTGGAACAAACACTGTTAACTATAAACCTTGGAATAAATCTTGTTGTAATCGGAAATTTTAAAGTTTTTAAGATATACTTAAAAATACATCTAAAATTATTGAATACAATTACTTAGTATTTTTCTCGGAAATTGTCGATCTTACTCCTTACTAATATTATAAATGCGAAAGTTTACATGGATGTTTGTTAGAGTTTGTAGCCTAAACGACTGAACGGATTTCGATGAAATTTGGCATAGTTGTAAAGGATGCTCTGAAAAAACATAAGACTACTTACTTTTTTTCTGAATTCTAATAAAATTTGATAATTTATCCTACTATCTGTCACCAAAGTGTGAACCAAAAAAGACTAAACTTTTCTTGCATACCAAGATTGTAGAATTCAAAAGATTTAACAGTTCCGATGTGAATTAGCAATTTGCGATTAAAAAAAAACAATGACAAGCGAAAGATCGGGCAATTTATCACACAATTACTAACCGAAGGTCGATTGGTGAAATTAAAGTTAATCACTCGTAACGTTCACGAACTCACAGACGTACAGACTAATATACAGAGGTACAGACGTACGGACGGACAGACGGGCGGGCAGGATACGGCGTAATTACGCTGTCCGGCTTTGCTTGTAAGTAACGTATCAAATTAGATCGCGAATCTTAAAGAATGTGTACCTTTTTGGGTTAGGGTGACGATGTAGACAAAGCTGTACAGGGCGAATTAAAAAAATACCTTAATAGTTATAACCTGAACATTTATGGTCCTCTTACTAATCCATTAAAAAAACTTAGACAAACAGAAACTTAAGGCTGTTTTTTTTAAATAAAATGTATCAACTTCTACAAACTCTAGGTCCGTACTCTTTTTTGCACAGTTTGTTTTCCTTTTATTTATTTTTTTTGTTGCATCATCCGTATTTCAAAATTTAAGGCTTAACATCATCAACTTTTTACACAGTAAGTGTAAAATTTAAAGTTAGTAAAGTTAGTACCTTTAGTATAGTTCTTAGTTTATACCTATCTTAGCTTTTGTTCATCTCAAAAATTCGTCGAGATTCATTTCTTTCGGAACTTCAGCAAAAACAACCCCTAAATCAACGCTAATTCTTCATAGAAAATATTAATTAAGAACAAGCAATGCTTAAAAAAGTTACGTAGCTAATGATTTTTTAACTTTATTAATATCGTTGGCAACGCCTTCGTAGACCTTCGTGAGGTCAGTTAAAAAATAAATAATGATATCAAAACTAACAGAGCGGTAGCTCAGATGAATTATTACATTAACTGGGATTAATATAGCAAACGGAAGGGGAGGGGACAGACTACATCAATATTAACTTGACTAAAAAAGTTTATTATAACCTCATTATTTTAGGAATAAATCGCTAATCTTTCACCACAACTTTGTTTTAAGTTTTCATTTAGAAAATTCTTAACTTAATGTCTTTCAAAGCTATAGGTTTACTGAAGAATATGTAACGTTAATTACTTAACATCGTACTTACTAATATTATAAATGCGAAAGTTTAGATGGATGGATGTTTGTTTGAGTTTGTCTAAACGGCTGAACGTTTCTGGATGCAATTTGGCACAGATGTACATTATAGTCTTAAAGAACACATAGGGTACTTTCTTTTGTTTTTTTTTTAATACCACGGACAAAAGCTAGTAGTTACCATAAAAACAGTATTTCAAATACATTTTTCCTTAAATATACGGCAACCCTTTCATGTTTATGCCATGACTAGAGTTCTTTTTGGAGAATTCGTGGCTATTGAAATATAATTATGTGTAGGCTTACGAATATTATTTTGATTGACAAACAATAAAGTATTTATAACGATAGCAGTATCATATATGGTGAAACAGTTGACGACCATAATGTCAATCAGTCAGAGTCAGAGTTAAAACACTTGTTTGACTTATCACTGTCACTGTAGCGATTGTCGATTGTTTTGTAGCCCAATCAACTATTTAGTTGCACGACTAAAAAGTGTGCGCACCTCCATATAAGCTCATACGTGATTCCTAAAAGCTCCACTAAACAATTGTGCGTTAGTTTATTCAATAGTATGCGCGCTTAATACATTTATTTAATTAATTGAATTAACGAATCCAGTATAATGTAGTCAAAACATGTTGCTATTTTAT